CAGGAAAGATTCATTCAAGAAATTTCCAATGTTTTCATGATTCGCTTCAGCAGCGGTCCTGCACCTACGAACTCCTCTTGGGTTTCACCCAACCTTGGCCCCATTCCGAGTTTTAACTAGGGTGTCTTACTGCTGAGGGTTCGATATTCGTCTTCATCTTGAGGAGATCGGCTACCTTTTTATCCAGTTCGAGATTTTGACGATTTAATATGATGACCTAATGCCAGAGGCTTCACAGGAGCTGGAAAGCTGTTCTATCGATTTAGGTCTTATAAGTTTCTGAAAAAAATCTTCAAATAAATAAGAAGTCAACTTACTCTGAACTGCGAGTTGATAATGTCACCAATGAGACCACCATTTTGTATACAAGCATCGGCGTATCCAATCTGGATGTTACATGATAGCATCCTAACATACGGGCCATGTGGTCCACGTTCTACAGCCAAATCCACCAGGATAGACATCTGAATAACAAATTCTTATGGTCTCTCTTGAAATTAGGAGGAGTGCGCTATTAGCTGCGGAGAGAACATGAAACTACAGTTTTCTAGAAAGCCCAGCGAAACACCTTTGAAAAATTCAAGGATGCAATTCCCAAGGATGACAGTCCTGCATAAGGTGGATAATTTCACACATAAACCGGAAGAGTTGAAAGGACTGAGAAAACACTCATCCCAAGTGAAAGTATAGCATTTTGAAAAAGAAATAGTAAAGGAACACTTTGTTATGGTAATTCTAGAGTATTTCACCAGTGCATGCATTGTTTTAACATGCTTTTCGCGAACCATGGATGGGAGAGCCGCTACGCGACCGCATGCATCAATGACAAGCGAATTGCATGGCATGTGGCACGCACAAGTTTATCGACATTGTGAAGAGTGCCAATCATAATTACATGAAAAAATTGACAAAAGCAGCAAAATGCTCACTTGATGAAGGTTTATTTGTAAGATACCAAACAATGCGATAGGTAATAATATGACGATTTGACCTCCGAGATTACCAGTAATTCTGCAATAATTAATTCCTTTCTATGGAGTTTGATAGTCCGGAGAACACTTACCCCACGTCGACATTATCCACTTGCAAAATGAGCCTGTTTGGCGGTGCAGGATAGAGGATTACTCGTTGTGGACAGCGATACCGTGAAACGTATAGATTGTAGATCATGATACATCCTTCTATCTGTAATGGACTTACTGTAAGTACAGTACGGGTAAAAAAGTAGCCCAAAGTAGGAATTTGTGCTGACCAGAAATCGCATGGAGGAAAAGCCTCCCAAGTGAAACAGTACAGGGTTAGGGCAGTGGGGGAGGCACACTGAAGACGCAAATACGGTAAACCAGTACACGTGGGTGGGATGTACTAGTACAAAACGGTGCTGCTAGGTGTAGACATGATTTGTAAATCAGATCCCTGATTTAATCCCGCCGCTGAGAGCAACCAAGCCTTCCCGGATACTCTTTCGGGACAGCTTCCGGGTACCAGATTAATACTCGAAATAAAAAATTCCCTGATCCCGTACACGTTACAGATGTAAATGTCCTCATAACACAAAGATCCTGGACTGAAGCCGGCTGCATGGCGCAGCTTAGAAAAAGATCAGTATGAATGTTCGGTAATGCCCTGTGGGACTGCTTTGCACCCTCCACCCTAGCCCCGTATCATATTCTAGATCCTCCACGCATTCACTAAATGTGAGTTCCACTTTAGAAGGATAATTCAAAGATGTCGGAGCTGGGAGATAACCCTTCAGACCACCCATCAGACCAGATCGGTTTCGTTCTGACACGTGACATGACGGTGAACACCTTTTTTAGCATTGCTGGAACATCATGGATCAAAGGCCTTTGTTCCCATCAAACAGTAGCCCAGCAGGTCCATGCTTTTTCTTGCCCACATTCTTCTCCTTCGTCACTTTGCCATCTCTATACCCATCAAATGAAATCGACTTGGACAGATTTGGTTCCAATTGACCGTTCAGCATTTTTTTTGCTATTCCCCCGTCCCCTGTTTCTTAATACGACTCTTGGTAAGGTTCCAGCTGGGAAGCTTTGGATAGGCTTATGATCGCGACGAAAGTGGAAGTTTCTTATCTGGGAATCTAACAAAATCCGCTACAGCCGGTTTTCACCAGTGGAATTAGCAACCCCTCAGCAGCTATCCAGTGCCATTCGTCTTCGGGTCCGAAAGAAATGGAGACGAAACTGAACAACTGGGTGAAAGAGTCCATGTATTGACAAATGGCTGTCTGGCCCTGCCCACGTCTTTTTACCCTTTTCACCCTTACCCCTAACACGTGACTTGAATGGATGGCCCGTAGGCGTTTCTACTTTCATTTCAAATAAGCAACACGTCAAGACTTACCCCGCCTGGAACAGGTGAGGTAATTGGTGGAATTCGAGCTCGTTTTATCTCCTGGTTAAGCAGCTCGGCGATTAATCCACTTGCATATTGGAATGTTCGTGGATTGAGGCGGGCTCGGATTCCTGGATAGCCACGAATCCCCTGTAGAAGTACAGGATTGAAGTCGGGACCAACTGCTGCTGCTCCACAGGCTCCTCCTGCACATCTGAAAGCAACGAATTTCAGAAATAAATGACACTGCCAAGAAATTACGCGAAACTTACCCTCCTGGTGCACCACCGAGGTAAGGACCAACCGCATTGCCACCTCTATAACCTCCCGCGGAGTAGCCACCGCCTCCTGCCAAAGCTTCTACCAGCAACCATGAGAGTAAAAATATCTGAAAATAGCAAAATCAGGAATATATTATAGCTTAACTCTCGTTCGAGTGCATCTGACATCATAGGTGACGATTCAATGACATTTCTGGTGTTGTTTATGGGTCCTGATACGAGCGCTACGAGGGTATTCTTCCACATATTTTCAGCCATGTAAGGAGAGATTAATAGAGACGGCCAGTGAATGGCACCCCTACGCTTCAAAAACTCGAAGTCAAGTCTAAAGCGAGACAACCGCCTACGCCCATGCCCTACCAATCGCTCACTTTTTCGAAGACCATCGGTGATGCTTGAGGTTTTCCTTCATGGACTACTCTGGGTGAGATAACATAAGAAGAATACGGTATTAATAAAAAAACACAATAAAACTACAAACAAAAGTGGTTGATGGAGATAGAGCTACGCAACGGTCTGAGTTGGTGATAGGTCGAAAACCAGGCTCAGTAACAGGTACGGGCCCCCCAGATAGCAAGTGCTCCTTCAGCGGAGAAATTCCTATTCCCATCGGTGATTCTGCGACTTATTTTCAACTTTTTTTCAGTTTCTATTTTTTTCCGAAGTTTTTTGGTTCCGGAGGTGAGCAGTTGCCAGATAACCAGGCTTACAGTGTGACTGTTCCAATGAAGGAACTTCTAAAAAACACGTGGAGAGAAAAAGGTCAAGTACTTCAAGTTCGCTTACGGAGACACGCTGATAGCATTTAGCGTGGAGCTTTTGAAGATGGGCCTTAAGATGCCAGGGTGTGACGTAACTAGGTCACTGCCTATGGCAAATCCAGGTTTTTGGAGAGTCATCTCTTGCGACTTGGGTAATTTTTAAGTTAATGAAGTGGTCAGTTTCTTTTCAGAGGTTGCTGCACTCCCTTTTTTACATTCGCACATTTTCTCAATTTCTTTCTGTCTTATTACAAACTTCTGAAAAACGGCGCTTCTTTAATATTGCAGACAAAAATAAAGCCGGTAGTATCACATGAGGGCTGGACGTGTGGTGACCCATTTTCGCCAATGTCGGGGCACTTCATGAACCATACTGGGAGTACCTCTTGACTTACGTCTCTACATAACTTTTCACTTCAAAAGAACAACCTATCTGTTCTAGGATTTGGGCTCATTTTTTTAGCGTCCATATCTATGTGGAACAAAAAATCCAAAAAACAACATCAACAAAAAACTATGCTGGAAAGTGATGGGTGTGGTAAAATTCAGAGACCATCAGGGTGACATGGTGAAGTAAATGAAAAGGCTGGGATGCACTTGATTTCAGTACGAACTTATCGACTAAGAAGTACATAGATTAGCCATTGGGTTTAGTTAGTAGTTTCATAGAAACCTATCTTATTTCTTTAGTGACTTGCATGATTTCAGCCCCTAACAACGACAAAAACTCTAGGATTTTTAACAAGTTTCAATGGGCCGGCCCTGATCAAAAACTTGTTGGTGGAACAGGGTGTGTGCGCGATTTGGACGGATTATCTCGCTTATTCGAAAGATTTAGGCTACTTTCACAATACTGGTCACTGTAACATTCAGTGGTTTCTCAAATGAATAGTCCCTACATCAGCTCCATACATGGATTCAAGGTCAAGCGCTGCTTCTTACAAGGGGGTGACCAGCAAATTGAGTCTACGAAGAATGGAAGGTTAATATAAAATATCCTTGTTAGCCATACCCAGTGGAAGCAAAGGCTGACTTATCGGGGTGGGCGAGGTTGTGGCACGTGTCCCGAGGGAGGGTAGGAGGCACAGGGTCAGGCAATGACCCATACGTCGCATGGGCTCTAAGCTGGCTCAGAGCTGCTCTTTTGAAATGGCCGCTACCTATCTTGATTGCCCAGCCTGAACTGAATCCATCTCGATGCTGTTGGGATTCGACTTATGGATTAGAATGGAATAAATTGGAATGGATTAAGCTAAGCGTAAAAGAAAAAACACCATGAAGTATAATTCGGTCGGCTCCACCAATGAAACTGTCACGTTGCGTCTGCAAAGCTCTACAGGTTAATTGAAAAAGTTGAGTATAAAGGTGGGCGGATTGCTGATTCTCCTAACTTTTTTCTCAAATATGCCTAAATCGAATTTGTAAGAAATGTGGTCGGACAACAGGGGCCTTCGTCTTTGCCATCATTGTTGAGGAATCTAACCAATAAGGACCAGTTCTACACCAATCTATTCTTCTAAAAACGGGATGGGCCCATCTGCAACGACAAACCCATTGCCAAATTCGTTGCTCAAAGTAGAAAAATGATGGACTATTCCGAAGGTGTGCTGTTAGGTTCGGGAGCAGATTTCCCTAAAATAGCCAGTGGTATATTCCTCTAAGAGAACTAGTGATGGCTGCTTAGATTGATTGACTTCAACTTTGCAAAACTCGGAAAGCGAATACGTAAGTGCGAGAACGCTCATTTCATGGGCGTTTTTGGTTTCGTACAGTTTCGTACTTTGAAGACGAATTGGAAAATTTTTGTTTCAGGAAGTTTCGGCATTTTTGTTGGCCTTCGTAACGGCTGATGGGTATGATGGCGCCCACAAATTCATTTTTAAGTATCACCTATCTGATTTATAGGAACCATTTTCTCGTTATCGAAAAGAAATACTCGTTCCAGCTGTTCCGGTCGCACTTCAGTTTTTAACGGTTTTACGTTTTCGGACTTTGTGAACAACGGGTTTCAATAAATTGAAAATTCGTAGAGCAACTACGTCAGAAGAAGATGGTGATGTTATAAGTGCTTTCATGTCAGCATGTTCCAACCTATCAATCAATAGTCACTCAAATTGTTGCCGCCTAATGAGTAGCTGACAGATTCGCCGACTATAAACGCAGTTTAAGGGACTTTTTACTCAAACTGCCCCTAAAAAATAAATGCTTCCGGCTTGTTAGCTGGACGTCTATTAGTTGATGTGGGGTTACAAAATGTTCATTGAGCAACGGTAACGTCTGCTTTAGATATGTCATGGAATGTTAAGCAAGCACTTTAAAAAAGTTTATGGTAGGTTACTTTCCTTCCCTCTCCCCCTCCCCCGCCCTTCCCCCACCCACAACGTTAGCTGCCCCACGGAAGTCTATGTTTGAAAATAAAAAGTAAAGCAGAACATAATGTAAACGTTATACAGTAAATAAAAAAAAACAAACAAAACTAAATCGTCCATTAACCTATTTCCAGCTTGAGGACATTTGAGATGTCTATCCTTGAATACGCTCTAAGGTAAACGATTGAGTGGGAGGGTACAGATTTTAGTGTGAGGGATGAAACGGGAGAGTAACAACGTAGGAGTGAAGACGCCTTGTAAAGTTTTTCAGCGAAATTTGTACTGGTAGCAAGTAGATAGGGGGAAAAGTATTAGAATTTCACGAGACATCTAAACGCCGTACTTCCTTGAGATGAAATAATTGGTGTGAAGGCAAAACTTCATGATCTAGCACGATAGTAATTGTTTAAACCAAAGTAACAGCGGCCAGAGTAAGGAAGCAATAAATTTGAACTCCTCGTCTTCGTACATGCCTCGAACCAAATGCATAAGTTGGAAAAAACTTATTTCCTGGATATTGAGGAATTTTTTTAAATAGATTCCGGAACATTGACAGATCTTCGACATAATCCTATCTACAGTGCGATTCAATCAACATGCCGCAACTACTGCATCAATATCATTGCTTCAGGCGGAGGTGGTGTGATGGCTCGCACTTCACACACGCATAGTCACATGTTCGAATCCCAGTTCGATATCCGCCTAGGCCAACCAAGCCTTCCATCCCTCCGGGGTAGGGTGATTGGTAACAGTCTTGTCTGGGAGGATAAAAGCACTAACTTGCACATCGGCTGGCCATCGCAAGCCATTTTAAAGGCCACACACTCACTACGCATCTACAATTCTAAATAGAAAACGAATGCGTGGGCGGATCCCTCAGACGGGATCTATTAACGTCCAGGACTTTACCCGTTACTTTATCACTGTTTTCAGAACGCGCCACGCCTTACACATGTATTCTAATCGAAGTTCAGTTAAGATGTGTCTCTGGTCAACGCCTTCGACATTTCAATATAAAACAGTATTCTAAATAATTTTTGATAAAAGAAACGACTGGGAGGCTAAGAAAGACTGAAAACCAATAGCTGTGGTCACTACTGAACGATAGCTGCTCCTTGTCGCTGTACTTCAGTAACAACTACGTGGGCATTGGAACAATAACTAATCGGAATTGGCTCTGTGGCGCACTCTAAGGTAGGTTACCAATGCTAGAGTTCTCCTTCAATTCTATAACTAATACATACCTCTTTGAGAACCATGCCGGTGGTTGGTCGATGGTCTGACCTGGAATATTCATAATATTAACGTTAAAAACAAGCAGTGTAAAAACAGAAGTACACGAATAGACGAGAACAGCTCATTGAAAGAATGAAAACTTCGAGAATAAGCACGTGTTCACCATTTTCAGAATTACCCGATAAGGCTTAGATAACCAAGAACATGAGCTATCATAGTTGGAACAAAATGCACAAAATTCGAAAGTTTCTGATAATTTTTTCCGAGCGCTACCTATCCGTGGAACCGGAAATCGGAAGTCAAAATGTAGTCGATTAGAAGATCGTATGAAGCTTAAATCGACAGATTCGCTAAGGGCCGCTGATAAGCTTTAATAGGCACTGCCATGAGCTCAAAAACACAGAACAGGTTCTTCACGGGAGGAGCACTTTGGCAATGAATCAACGCTTTCAGGATCGTCAATGGAAGTGTTTGTGACAACGATATAAATCATTAGCGAACAAAACGTGTAGAAGGCATTCGATGCATGGTGCAGTGGTAAGAGGCGCAGATATGAGGTGTACGACGGCTAGTTCGCTCTCATTCCCGGATCAATCC